GGCGCACGCTACCACGCCCGGCTAATTTTTGATTTATTGTAGAGATGAGGTCTCGCAAACCCGTGGACTCAGGCAATCCACTCACCTCAGCCTCCCAAAGCGCGGGATTACAGGCTGAGCCACCTAGCCTGGCTTCAACTTTTTTATTCATCCTTCTACCATCAGCCTAGAACCTCTGCACTGATAACCAGAAGCACATATGTCTGTCTTATATTATTATTATTATTATTATTATTATTATTATTACTGAGTAGGGATCTCACTCAGTTGCCCAGGCTGAAGTGCAGTGGCATGATCATGACTCATCGCAGCCTCAGCCTCAGTCTTTGGGGCTTAAGTGATCTTTCTGCTATAACCTCCCAAGTAGCTGGGACTTGGAAGAAACAAGGCCTCGCTATGTTGCTACCAGGCTAGTCTTGAACTCCTGGGCTTCAGCAGCCCTCCCTCCTTGGCCTCCCAAAGTCCTGGGATTACCGGTTCGAGCCACCGCATCCAGACTGTTGGAACGTGAAGTCAAGTTTTGTTATTGATCTCCATTCATTCATTCATTCATTCAGCAGATATTTGAGAAACTGTATGTGACAGGCATTGTAGGTGTTGGGATAGAGCAGTGAACAAAACAGACAAGAGTCCCTTCTGTCAAGGAGCTTACATTCTAGTTGGAGACAACAGATAAAAAAACCGAAATGCATGCTATGTCAGAAATGATTAAATGCTGAGAGAAAAAAAGGCAGAGGAAGGGTTAACAAGCAGGGAGTAGGTGTTAGTGCAGCCAACCACATTTTACAGGGCCTTGCAGGCTGTAGAAAGGGCTTTAGCTTTCACTGTAAAAGGTGCAAAGCCTTTGAAGGGCTTTGAGCAGAGGTGTGATGTGATCTGACCTCAAGAAGATAAGTCCAGCCAGCCTCCTGCAGGCAGCTGAAGAAGGCCAAGGTGGAAGAAGTGACTAGTTTATGAAAACATCAGCCCTCTAGGTAGTTTAGGTGCAAGATGTTTGGATTAAGAGAAGGTTTAATTGCCCCCAGAGTTGGAAATTGGGGGCAATAAAATATATATATATACTTTTTTTTTTTTTGAGTTGGATTCTCACTCTGTCGCCCAGGCTAGAGTGCAGTAGCACAGTCACGGCCACCCTGGCATTGACCTGCTGGGCTCATCATCCCCCCGTTAGTGCACATTATACCCTATAGGTGATTTTTCGTCCCTCCCCCCCTCACCCTCCTCCCTCTGAATCTCCAATGTCCATTATACCATTCTATATGCTTTAATAAGTAAGACTGGGCTATAGTTTGCTTTATGGTACTTACTTGTTTAATTTTGTTATATGAATTATTCTAGTTGTATTAAATGAATTGATTAACATTTCCTCTGTTTTGATGCTTTGAGGCAGCTTGTATAAAGTAGTTAAAATGTTGGTGTATAAGATAGGTATTAGTGGCTCACACCTATAATCTCAGCACTTTGGGAGGCCGAGGCGAGAGGATTGCCTGAGACCAGGGGTTGGAGATCAGCCTGGGCAACTTGGCGAGACCTCATCTCTACAATAAATCAAAAAATCATTCTTGTTTCAGGTTTTCCTATCCTAGTGCCTTTAAAAAAAAAACAACTTTGGGGTTTATTGATTCACTCTTTTTTTGATGGGAGGAGTGGTCGCTATAGAGGAGGAGTAGAGGAAATTGGATTTGTTATCTGCCCTTACCTTTACCATTTTCATGACTTCCTTCCGGTTTTGTTTTGCTGCTGTTTTTCTAGCTACTTAGATTGTAAGCTTAGCTTATTTTCAACCTTTCCTGTTTTCTAATACATGTTCTCTAACATGATTGATTTGTTTTTCTGTTTTCTAATAAATGCATTTTCCTGAATCCTGAAAGCTTTAATATTAAATGCTTTTGTTGGTGTCCAGTTTTTAAATACTTCCCAATTTCCACTTATTTCCTATTTAATCTATTAATATTTATGTGTGTTAAAGTATTTAAATTCTGATGGAAAATGAGGCAGTGTTAATTTGTTAATTTTTAATTTCTTATATTTAAATGTCATGAATATAGATTGTATGCAAGTTTAAAACATTTTTTTGATATTTCCTTTGAGGTCTAATGTATGGTCATTATATTGTGAATCATTCCTATGTGTTGGAAAATAATATGTATTCTCATGTGGGATCTTTATGATGCTGGTTACTAAAAATAGGTGCCAGACTGGGCGTGGTGGCCTCAAGCCTGTAACCCTAGCACTTTAGGAGGCCGAGGCAAGAGGATTGCCTGAGCCAGCGATTCGAGACCAGCTGGGCAACTTGGTGATAAAAAAAATTAGCTAATAAAAAAATTAGCTAGTCCTGGTAGCAATCACCTATAGTTCCAGCTACTTGGAAGGCTGAGGCAGAAGGATTGCCTGAGCCCAGCAAGTTGAGGCTGCGGTGGCCGTGACTGTGCCCCTGTACTCCAGCCTGGGTGACAGAGTGAGACTCCAACTCAAAAAAAAAAAAAAATGGGTGCCTAGGACCTGGAGGCAGAATAGGAAAAAGGCATATCCCTTTCTAGTTTACTAAAATACAGAGTGGTGGACCTCTATTTAAATCCTAAGGATGTCTCAGCCTGTCTTCCTGTCACTCTACAACCCAGTGCTGCTGGCATCTGCAGAGGATGAGTAAGAGGCTGCTCAGTTGAGATTATTTTACATGTAAGAACAGATGACAGCAATATAAAACCTTTTCTTGTAAATAAACTTTTCTTCCACTTTGACTGAAGCTAGACCCGTTCTGTCAGTGGCAGGCAGCCAGTGCCAACACTCAATAGTCAATATCATTGGTCAGCCAATCTGTGAGAAACTGAGTTTTGCATATGGATGGTGGTTTAAGGACATAAGTGAATAATATCTGCAAAACCAGGTTGTACGAAAGTCAAGGAACAAAAGTCAAGGAACAAAAAAGGGACTACTTTTATTAGAAGTTAAATCACAAATCTAAATGTTAAAGTACTAATTAAGGTTATGATACAGAGCAGGAACAAGGGTGAAGCTAGTGAGGTACTTGCTTTGGGTGCAAAATGTAAAGAGGCACCCCCCAAAAAAAAACTCAATCATTAGGATAAATAATATTTTCATGTAATTTTTATTTATTTATTTTAGTTATTTATTTTTTTTGAGTTGGAGTCTCACTCTGTCACCCAGACTGGAGTGCAGTGGCCGCTCCCGGCCAGTGCAGCCTCGACCTGCTGGGCTCCGGCGATCCTTCCGCCTCAGCCTTCCAAGTAGCCAGAATCATAGGCATGCACTACCACGCCCGGCTGATTTTTTGATTTATTGTAGAGATGAGGTCTCGCGTGCCCAGGCGGGTCTCGAACCCACGGGCTCAGGCAATCCACTCACCTCAGCCTCCCAAAGGCGCGGGATTACAGGCTGAGCCACCGAGCCCGGCTTCATGTAATTTTTTAAAATCAAAATTAATGTCAAAAATCCATGAATAAAATACCAAAGTTTTAAATAAAGGCAGGACTTGACTCCGCATGTTGGTAATCATCTCACTTCACCTCTCCCTAGTCCTGGCTGTGACATGACACCTGTGGCTGTGGGAAGGCCAGGTGGTCAGATGATGTCAGAAGACACAGGCAATATAAGGTCAGGGTTAAAATCTTGGGGTCAAGCATAAGTTATATAATTCCAGGCTTGAATTCTGACTGTATGGCCGCAGGTAACTTACCTAACCTACTAAGTATCTGTTTCTTCAATGTAATAGGAAGCTAGTAATAATACTTCTCCCCTAAAGGGTTTGCAATGACTATACAAGAGAATGCATGCAAAGTTCTTATGCCTGAGCCACAGAGGAAAATCCAGGTTTTGTGGAGCCTGAAGCTCATATATCTTGGAAGACCCTATGTAGGAAAAATAATAAAAAATTAGGAATACAAAATTGACATGGAAGTGAATATTTAGAGTGGGAAAATAAATCATAATAACAAATTTTTTTAAAGCACAAAACCAGGGCCAGGCTCAGTGACTATAAAGTTCCTATAATCCCAGAACTTTGGGAGGCCAAGGTGAGAGGATTGTCTGAGCCCACGGGTTCGAGACAAGCCTGGGCAACTTGTCGAGACCTCATCACTACAATAAATCAAAAAATTAGCTGGGCATGGTAGCTCATGCCTGTAGTTCCAGCTACTAGGAAGGCTGAGGTGAAAGGATCGCCTGAGCCCAGCAGGTCAAGGCTGCAGTGGCTGTGAGTATGCCACTGCACTCCAGCCTGGACAACAGAGTGACTCCAACTCAAAAAAAAAAAAAAACCACAAAACCCAGAAAAATAAAGCATTTTTATACATTAATTGTCCATATACATCGCTGTAATACTTTTTTTTCTATGCTTTTTTAGGCTACATGTTCTTTAATTGCCTTTTCATATGACAACAATTTTGTGATACTTTTTTTTTAGAGATAAAAGGGTTATTTTATTCATTTGTACTTAAACCAGCAAAACTGGCACTGATGTCATCATGATGTTGCAAAATACAAAGTATCTTTCTACAAATATGAGTGTCATGAACAAATCCGGGTTACAGTACTCTACCCAAAAGGGGCTGAGGAAATCAAAGTGCACTACAGCTTAAAACCCTTCACCTGAACTGAATTTGTTAGTGTAAAGCCTCCCCATCCCAGAAAACAGGGTGCTCCTTTATCTCTGTACTTACACTTCCTCTTCTTGAGGTTAGATTCTAACTCCTAAGATGTCAAGTCCCGACTACTATTTTACCTACTTATCTACGATCTACGGCCAGAGACAGCACCTACCCTGTTGTCCATAGCAGCCAAGGTCATTGAAACCTCTTTGATTAGGTTCCAATCATACACCACCCCCCAAATTGACACAATAGGCAGAATGAGAACCAGGATACTAAAACAGAACACATGACTAAAACAAGAAAACCTACGAGGGAGGGAAGGAGGGAGGGAGGAGGAACGAGGGAGAATTCAGCCACTGCCCAGAAATGGAGTAAAATACCCACCCGCCTTCACAGATCTTCAGGCTGCATGTCCATAAAGTAACTATGGAATAAATCCATGGCCTGTGGGGTGTTAAAACACTTAGTGGCCTGCTGTAGGATGCTGTGACTTTCTCCAGCCATTTCCAAGGTGGCTTCCAAGTCACTGGCTAGTGAATTCTGCTGGAACTGCATGGCGGCCTGCAAGGACTCCTCTCCAGAATTATGGAAGGGGCTGCTCCAGGTGTGACTGTTCCAGGCTGGGGGGCACCAGGTCTGACTGTTCCAGGTGTGGCTACTCCAGGACTGGCTGTTCCAGGTCTGGTTGTTCCACCCGGGAAGGTTCCCGGATGTGTTCACCAGGCATCCCTGGTGGTAGGGCGAGTGGAGACCTGTGTAGGTGTGTGCTGAGACCTGGGCCACACTGTAGCTGTTCTTTGGCCAGCTACTTTTCTGCCACCTCTTAGACTTCATTCTCTGGTTCTGGAACCAGGTCTTCACCTGTTTGTAGCTGAGGTTCAGAATGCTCGAGAGTTCTTGCATCTGCTGGAGGCTGAGGTACTTCTGCCTCTGAAATCTGTCGCTGAGGACACACAGCTGGGCGGAAGTGAACACGGTTCTGGTCTTCTGCTTCTTGACTGGGACTGTATCCGCCTCCTTCTTCCCTGGGCTTCTCTCTCCGCAAGTGGGTAGTTTGACTTTGGGACTGGTGGAAGAGTCAGGACTGTCCTGGGCAAGCAGGTCCATGGAGGAAGGAAGAGGAGAGACAGTCTCTGTGTGGGGCATCTCAGCGGAAGACATTGGCAAGGTTGGATAATTTTCTTCAGGCCCACAAATTACAGGCATTGGCGAAGAGTCTGTCATGATACTTTCTATAGCGAGAATAGATAATTGCTCTCTAACATGATTGATTTGTTTTATAGCATCGAAAGTTTAGAAAAGTGTTTCTAAGCTTCACAGTTCATAACTGGTAATATGTCCGTTTCTATGATTGTTCTTAAATTTGGGGAAACTCCCACTGCATGATTTTCATATATGAATTATACTATAAGAGGTTCCAACAAAATGCATACACATTTTAAGAAAGGAAAAATCTGCATTAAAATTGCAATAGTCTTTGGCCCTGCACTTTTGTGTCACAACACTAAGTTAGCACAGTAGGTAATAGGAGTATTCTGGCAACCATTCCCATATGGGCTTCACTGACAATAACTTAACAACATAGGGAAATGATTGTAAGTCGCATACAAATATCCCACTTAACCCAAACTGAAGAAATCTCCAACTCAACTTACTCTTTGCTGGTTCTCAAAAATGGCCGTGGCCTCTCTGCCACCTGACATCAGGATATGTAACAGAAGGGTGGTTGGAGAGGAACGAGACAGTGGTCTCAACTGATTTCAGTTAAAATATCTTACTTTTAGAAATAATACAAAAGCAGGCTGAGTGCGGTGGCCTACGCTTGTAATGTCAGCACTTTGGGAGGCCAAGGCAGGAGGATTGCTTGAGCCTAGGAGTTGGAGACAGTATAGGCAACATAACAATACTTCGTGTCTACATAAAAAATTGGGGGGGGGGTAGTCCCAGCTACTCTGGAGGCTGAGGCAAGGAAGTACTCCTGAGCCTAGGAGTTTGAGGTTTGAGGCTGCGGCGAATCATGATTGTGTCGCTGCACTCCAGCCTAGGTGACAGAGTGAGACCCTGACTCAGGAAAAAAAAAAAAAGAACACAAAAACATATGACCTAGTATGCACATTGCTGCTGACTCCCTTCAATGCCTTGAAAGAAACTTAGCAAGTGAAGAACCCTGACACTTAAGCTTCCTTAGCTTCACAGTAAATCAACTTTACTGACATATAATTTTTCAAAGTTTTCCACAGCACTAACTAGTTTGTAGTACTCATCACACTTCAGTATATTTATTTGTAGTACTCATCACACTTCAGTATATTTGTAGTACTCATCACACTTCAGTATATTTATTTGCACTCATGTTTCACGCTCCAGATAGATTATACACTCAAGGACAGGTACTGGGCTTTGTTAATTTTTGTGTCAGTACCTGTTTTATTTTTTTACTTTTTATTGAGTTGGAGTCTCACTCTGTCGCCCAGCCCAGACTGGAGTGCAGTGGCCGTTCCCGGCCACCGCAGCCTCGCTTGCTGGGCTCCAGCGATCCTTCCGCCTCAGCCTTCCGAGTAGCCGGAATTACAGGCATGCGCTACCACGCCCGGCTGATTTTTTGATTTATTGTAGAGATGAGGTCTCGCCAAGTTGCCCAGGCGGGTCTCGAACCCGCGGGCTCAGGACTCCATTCACCTCAGCCTCCCAAAGGCGTGAGATTACAGGCTGAACCACCGAGCCCAGCTCAGTACCTGTTTTAAATTAGGGATAAGGGATGGGCGCAGTGGCTCATGTCTGTAATCCCAGCAATTTGGGAGGCACAGGCAAGAGGACTGCCTGAGCCCAGGAGTTTGAGACATGGGAAACTTGGTAAGATCTCATCTCTACGATAAATTAAAAAAAGATTCTCTGGGCACAGTGGTGTGTGCCTATAGTCTCAACTATTTGGTAGGCTGAGGTGGAAGGATTGTTTGAGCCCAACGAGGCTGCATAGCCGTGATAGTGCCACTGCACTTCAGCCTGGGTGACATAGTGAGACTCCAACTCAAATAATATAAGAAATTAAAATAAATAGGAATTTGGTCAACAGTGAACAAATGTAAGAAAGCTAGTGGGAAGGAAGAGAGATGACAAGAAAACAATATAGCTGTGACTGAGAAAAAAAATCTAAGAGCTGTGGACTCAGACAGAAAGGATAACAATATGCAGCGATAAGAAATGTTTGTGTCAGCCGGGCTCGGTGGCTCAGCCTGTAATCCCGCGCCTTTGGGAGGCTGAGGTGAGTGGATTGCCTGAGCCCGCGGGTTCGAGACCCGCCTGGGCAGCGAGACCTCATCTCTACACTAAATCAAAAAATCAGCTGGGCGTGGTAGCGCATGCCTGTAATTCTGGCTACTTGGAAGGCTGAGGCGGAAGGATCGCCAGAGCCCAGCAGGTCGAGGCTGCGGTGGCCGGGAGCGGCCACTGCACTCCAGTCTGGGCGACAGAGTGAGACTCCAACTCAAAAAAAAAAAAAAAAGAAATGTTTGTGTCAAGTACAAAGAGGCAAAAATCAGAGACCGGAAGACTAATAAAAAATGCAAAATAGGCACAGAAAGGCCATTAAAACAACCAGTGTGAATCCTATCTAGAGGATGTCCAGGCCAAGCTCACACATGTGGTCCCAGCACTTTGGGAGGCCAAGATGAGAGATAGCTTGAGCCGAGGAGTTCAAGATCAGCCTGGGCAACATAGCAAGAACTAGTCTCAAAAAAAAAAAATCCAGAAAAGGCAAATCTAGAGACAGAAAGCAGATTAGTAGTTGCCCGGGGCTGGAGGTAGGAATGGGGAGTGATACAAATAAGCCTGAGGAATCTTTTGGGGGTGATGAAAATGCTCTGAACTGGATTGAGGTGATTTTTGCATCACTCTTTTAATAAGCGAAAGTTATGGCATATAAATTATACCTTAACAAAGCCATTTAAACAATGTTTTTGAAAAATGAGACCAGAGATTCAAATGTAAAACGGTTGTAACATGTAAGTAGAATTTGTGAACTAGCTCATCTTGAGCAATCATTTTTCTCACCAAGAGTCCCATACACTATGGTAAAGTTTGTTGTGCACCAAAAGCATCTGTGTGTGCTGGGGGACTTTGTGAGTGGTAAGGTTTATTAGGACCCTTCTCTCACAGTAGTTTGCTGACCTCGCCTGTGTGGCCAGCTTCTGTGTGCAAAATAGACACGTTCTCCTCCACTTCCCTCCCTCCTCATACAACTCTGATTTGGAGTATTCGTTAATAGAAGGAAAAGACTCAGGTGAAATAATTGACCTTCTCTTATGAACTTCATGTTTAATGTGTCACTATCCATCCAGGGCAATTATATTTTGAAACCCAGTTAGCAAATGTGAATCAATCTTCAACGGTGATAAAGTTTTTACTGTCATAGAAACTTCCAATTCTTTCTTTTTTCAATAAAGAGATTATCAGTAGAAACGATTTGCCACCTGTTGCATTGTTTGTCAACTTTGATCATTAACTCAAGCCACTTGCAGATTTAGCAGATAAAAATATGGGTTGCTCAGTTAAATATGAATTCAGATAAACACCAAATAATTTAGGATCAGTATATTCCAGATAGTTCTTTTTTTTAAAGAATAAGTGTACCCATGCAATATTTGAGACATACTTACACTAAAACATTTTTTATCTAAAACTCAAATTCATCTGGACATCCTGTAGTTTATCTGACAACCTTTTTGTAAATAAGTTGTGGGAAAGCTCAGTTTAGGTTGCTCTTAAATGGCCTGTGCTTATTTGTTTTCATAAACAAAAAATCTCTAAGAGAAAGCGTTGATTTCCCAGTCCTTGGGAGGGCTAAATTCTGATTCCGAAACTCCTTCCATTAAAGTCGTGCTTCAAAAGTGAAGCCAATTCTGCTGTGGGAGAGATTTCCTCAAAAACCTGGGGTTTGGGCCACTAGGTAGTGACCCACAACCCCTCCAACAGAGGTAGGCCTCCGGTGACCCTCTGTCACCGCACTAACCGGTGAGCAGAGAACACCGCCACCGCAGGCCCCCGCACGACCCTTGGCACCCGCTGAGAGATGGGGCTTGACCAGCCAGCTTCTCCGTGTGTCTTCCGCTCGGTGGTTCGGTCCAAGTTCCAGAGAGACCCTCCCCCGCTCCAGCTCTCGACGCTCTTCTTCGTCACACCCCCCTTCCGCCTCCCGCCCCGTTGGGAGTTGAACGGAGAAAGCGGCTTCCGAGCACGAAGTGCCCGCAATTGACAGCGAGGTCTGAAATCCACAAACAGCTCGCGAGGTGCGAGTCCCCGCTCTCGTTCCTTCCAGAAGGGGCTTCTGCTGGGAGAGGAGAAGAAACCTAGGATGGGCGGGCGGGGGGCGGTGTCGCTCTCGCGCCCTCTCTATTTTTTGGTCGGAGGAAAGAAAACAGCCCTGCGCCAGGCGTGTGCAAAGCGGACAAGTGGAAACACGGACACACCCTCCCCGCGGCC